GTCTTTCTGCAAGGAACAATATATTCTAAAATGAAATGGAGATCTTTTTTAAAGGTTAAAAACTCATTCAATTTAATGTCTTACAGGGCTTATACTGAGTTCAATATTGTGTAACTGTATTAATTCAACTGTGAACCTAGAAATTTATAGCCACTTGTTGAAAGAGATGTACTCTTGCTCTGGAGAGTGTTACTGAATATGTTAAAGCTGTAATGAAATGCTTCTTCTAAGCATGTAGTTATTAAACATTAAAAAAAAAAAAGAAAAAAAAAGAGCCCCTTCTCTCATGGGCTGGAGGAGGGGGTCCTCAGACTCAGAGGATAGTAGATAGCACATAGAAAAGGCTTGCTTCAACAACAGGGAAAAAGTTAGTCCTAAACTAGATGTAATGAATAAATCATGCAAGCAATATTCAAAAGATCAGATTATTTCCAAATAACTCCACAACTGCCCAGGACATCAGAATACTAGAATTCATTCTAATTTTCCAAGTAGCTAATTTCTCAGTATTTAGTAAAAGATGTTTTACATCATTTTACAATTTAGAATAAATGAAATGAGAAACAAAATATTTAACAGAGAACAATCATTCTGATTAAGACGCATACACTGGAACATCTCTAAAATTTTAAATGTTATGTCACTTTCCTGTATTTCTAAAAGTTATCTGCTAAAGTTGCTATGGAGTTTTTCTGATAAACAGGCTGGGATGCTGAAATCTACTGCACATATGGATCAAGTCCTCTTTAAACACTACCCAATGTTGTCCGAACTCTTCCCTGGGGCTTCTGTGGAGGTTCCAATGACGAGGTTCCACCTGCTCGGTAACTGTGTTCAAGGACAGCTCCCTGTGAGGAAAGCACAAGAACACTCCTCACTGAGGGTGGACTGCTTAACAGACTCATTACTCCTCTTTCCTGGAGATACTGAAAAATGGAGATGTCAGCATTTTAGTAGTAAAGAGAATAAAAGGCTAAATGGTGCAGCAGGTTGACTCTTACAACATCAAACTGAAAATGTGGGAGACGCTTTCTGTACTTCAGTAAGATAAGCAGTTACTCCCTGTGAGATCCTGCAGCATTCCTAGACACCATGGCGGAATGAGTGAGGAGTGAAGCCAGCCAGAGATTCTTCCCAGGTCAGGTTGACATGATGATTGTATGCACACAGTAATGCTGATGGGGAAAGATTAACTAGTCCAGAGGTCCAAAGGCTATGTCTTTAAAAATAACGTAAACCAAGCTCAATCACAGCTTTGAAAAAACTGCTGAGACTGTGTGACCCTCACTCAAAGTCCAAAGCAAAGTCTGTAGTAAGTCAGTATATTAACTAGCAGTTTAAAATAGTTCCCAGTGAACTGCAACTTATCCCCCCCGCCCCCCTGCTGGGGGTTAAACTCCATTAGCTCATGCTCTGTCACTAAGATACAATTTCAAGTTAAACTTCTCTTTAACAACATAAGCAACTCAGGAAAGTACATTTCACTACTCTGTGTGAGCTTAAAATTGGCTCCTTGTTGTTTTATCTTGTTTATGGGGAAACTCCTTGATTCTACATTATTAAGTTGTGAAAACAAAAGAGTAACCAAAGTGACTTTAGTGTGGGTGGAGACAGTTCAGCTGCAGAATGTGTGATGTGCAATAACCATCACCACCCACTTCCAGAACATGTTCATCTTCCCAAACAGAAACTCTGTATCCATTAAGCCCCTGAAATGCAGTTGTTTCTTCATCCTATACTGCTAAGCTAATAGAACCAAACCAGCATCATTTGTCCTTAGCTTCGTTTCTCCCTCCTCTGAAGTCTCCAAACTAATCACTGCTGATCTGAACTAGGTCGAGATTTAAACCAAAGGGAGGTAGTGATTTCTATTAAAGAATCTGGCCCCTAACTATACACTGAGTTGCCTGCACTGGCTCAATATCACCCATCATTACATAGCAGGGCACCAGCTGTTAGGACAACTGAAAAGCTTTTTAGTCCAAATCAATTTACCTCTTTAAAAAAGCTGAATCAATCTGGGATGCTGCTGAGTTGGCAGTGTTTGCCTGGCATTCACAAAGCCCTGGGTCCAGCCGCAGCACTACATAAACCAAGTGTGGTGGAGCACACTGAGAATCCCAGCACTCAGGAGGTAGAGGCAGGAGGATCACAAGTTCTAGGTCATTACCAGCTACATGAGACTCTGTGTCAGAAGAAAAGAAGTTAGATCATCTCAAGTAACAGTTTAAGTGCTAGGTAAGCCCCTCATCATTTGTAATTTCAAACATGGGCTTGCTTCTTTAAAAGGCTTTAGCTGTTAAATAAGAGGAAGTTTGCTAGCAGTTGGGGAGATTTTGTCACCTTGCACACGGCACTGTCTGCTGTGCAGTTGTGATTTAATAACCAGAATTCAATGTGCAGGGTCCTCTGGAGAAGGTCAATGGAAGGACAAGGTAACTCATCCTTCTCATCTGTCCCTGATTTTACTGCCTCCACTGAAAATGGTGCCCCCTCACTCCTACAATGAGTACTTATCTCATTTTCCAACTTACTTTCCAATATAAATCATGATGTTTGCATTAATGTGTTTGTATTCATTAGTTCTGAATCTTTGAAGCACACTGAAATTATGAGGTAAGGTAATAAATACCTTAGAATTATAAATCATGCTCTTTAAAACTAGGTGAGGTAAAAAAGAAAATGAAAGATCACTTTACTGTTAAGAATGGCAGAGATTTAATTACATACAATTCTCTTGAAAGGACGAGGCTGTATTTTCTAATATACTAAACAAATGTATGAGCATAGAGATCAGAAAAATGAATCTTCAGTGCAAAGTTTATGCATAGTCATTACTAATATGTTGCATTCAATAAAATGACATCTTCCAAGTTAATTATGCACAGTCTATGTATTATGTACACACACACCCAGACACATGGATCACTATTTGTCTGTGAATACTTCTTCCAATAATTTAAAATTTTTAAAAAGCCATGTTTTGTTTCCCAGTTTTTAAGTAAATATCTTCCTAGATCTTTCAAAAGTACCCACAGTTGATGTACTGTAACGCAATACTTACTTGCTATAATATTGTTCAATGGGGTGTTGGACACTATAATTACAACATAATTACAATCATGGTATGATTATGGTTAAATATAAACCATTTGATTGAATCTTTCAGCAGTGAAGATAAGGTACATGAAAGTATGCCAAAATTACTTCAGATTGTACAGTAATTTATGAGACTTAGAGCTTTCTATACCCCTATCGGTCTAGGTCTGAAAATGCTACTTTTTTAATTTTAGAAAAATATACATAATGTAAAATCAGCCATTTCAGAGTGTGCAGTTCAGTGGCATTAGGTACATCCACAATGCACAGCCATCACCACCACCCACTTCCAAAACTTTCCCATCTTCCCAAACGCTGCCTTCCCACTCCCTCTCCTCCCAACACGGGAAACATCACCCTACTTACTGTCTCTATAAACTTGATTCACAGTAGGTATCCTTTCATAACTGGCTTATTTCACTTAGCACAGTGTGCCGAGGTTCATGCAGGTCATGACGTGTCATAGCTTGTGCCTTTGAAGGCTGACTATATCCAGCATGGATCACCACACTGATTCGTTCATTCATCGTTGATGCCCTGGTCACCTTGGTTGCTTCCACCTTAGGACCACTGTAAACAGTGCTGTCCTGAATACCGATGTCTGTCTCTGTGAGTCCTTGCTTTCAGTGTTTCAGAGCACATATTCAGAAGTGAAATTATTGGGCTGTACGGTAATTTGGGGCTTAATTTTTTGAGGGGCCTGTACCCTGCCTTCCATTGCAGATGCACTGCTTTATATTCCCATCAACAAGGCGGAAAGGCTCAAATTAATCCAAAGGCCGAGAAGGCAGAGACAAACCCTGACACCAGCAAATTAAAGGGAAGCACGTGCAGACAAGGACAGGACAGTGCGGTTGTCCTTCGGACTGAGATGAAAGAAAAAGGTAATTAGACAATACACATCTACACTTTCTAAGTCTTCTTGATAAAATGATTAAGAATTTAGGAGTCTTTTGGGTGGGGGGTGGAGAGACGGCTCAGTGATTAAGAGCACTGACTGCCCTTTCAGAGGACCCAGGGTCGATTCCCAGCACCCACATGACAGTAACTCCAGTTCCAGGGAAATTTGATGCCTTCTTCTGACCTCCCTGGGCATTGCACAACACAGGTGTACTTACACACACGCAGGCAATATACTCATACACATAAAATAAAAAATAAAAGAATTTAGGAGTTTTTCTAATGTTTTTTCAGACGGCTAAGTTGAATAATGATAATTTGATTTAAAATATATGCATTTTGTCTAAGAAAAATTGGGATTAAGCAAAAAATTCAGTAAGCTAGAACTAGAATCAGTTTTGAACTAGGAGAAATTAACAAAAATGTAAAGTAATAAGATACATAAACCAATTTTAAATGAGTATACGAAATACACAATTTCTAAGGATCATTGTTATTAATTTCATACTTTTAAACACACATAAAAATTCATTCTTAAATGTGTTTGTAGCATAAAGGCATTTCATACACATATTTAAAAGCTTCATAAAAATACATCTCTATACAGCAAAACAGTAATTTGATGTTCATGAGATAAAATTAAGTTTAAGAAACAATGCCAGGTGTGGTGGTCACACCTTTAATCTCAGCACTCTGGAGGCAGAGGCAGGCTGGTATCTGTGAGAGGGAGGCCAGCCTGGTCTACATAGCAAGTTCCAGGGCTAGAGCTACAGAGAAATCCTGTCTCATAAAACCCAATAGAATCTTACTTACATGGACATGTGTCTGATAAATTCCCAATTATTTACCAAAAAGTTACCAAAATAATTTAGCTGAATTTCATCAGCATTACTTCAAAACAGAATTTAGAAATCCTTCTAGAAGTGAAGGACAGCACAGTGTCGCTCTCAGTCATTCACACAGCACTCTGATCAGCTTGGCCACTACCAGCACGTTGAGACTGTTTCCGAGCAGCCGGTACCTCTGCTTCACTGTTATCTTCTCAGGAAATCCTGGAAACAGAGTAGTGTTTACAGTGAGATCACTTGTAATCCTAATTCCAGAGATCAGAGACAACTTTTAGTAAAAGCACAATAGTGACCCATAAACACAATCATGTGCTTAACAATGATTCAGTATAAATGAAGGACCACACAGATACTGGAGGGTCTATGCAATCTATATGACCCTGCAATTGTCTTGCTTTGTGTAAGCATTTCCTCTGATGTTCTCATGATGAAATTGCCTAAGACACATTTCTCAGAATCTATACTAATTTTTGAAAGACAAAAGACTGAAGACTGCTAATGTCTCCACAAAGCTAGAAACAGAATTATAAAAATTGTGTGTGTGTGTGTGTGTGTGTGTGTGTGTGTTTACTAAGTTGGGGGGAAGTTATATGTTTTTAAGTTGAAAGATGACTTTAAAGAATATAGATATATGGGGCTGGAGAGATGGCTCAGAGTTTAAGAACACTAGTTGTGCAGTGTTCAGAAGACCTGGGTTCGAATCCCAGCACCCACATGGCAGCTAACAACTGTCCATAACTCCAGTCCTAGGGGATCCAACAGCCTCTTCTGACCAATGTGTGCACTGCGTGACACGGGTGCACTTACCTACATGCAGGCAATACATGCATACGACATAAAAAAAAATAAAATTTTTTTAAAGTTAAAAATATAGATATATTAAAATAACAATAGTCTTCCAAAACAAAGACACACAGAATCGACACGGTCAGGACAGTATCTTTCACCCAGCAAAGGCTGGTGTCCTTCTCCTCTAAGGCTGCCAGTCACATGAAGCAACTTGCCAGTCAGAAAACAAAATGTACAAAGGATCAACGTGAATCCATCATCACCAGGGGACAAATCCCTCAAAGAAATGTCCATTTTTGTGCCACAGCTAATAATACTGGAAATACGTAAAGGACAGTTGTGTCATTTTCTGTGGTAACATCAGGACACACTTGTCTATACAAATATATCACACATTTTAAAAGAACATTCAGCAATTTAGAAAGCTCTTTTTGTATGTATTTTATACATATATTTGGAGAACTTCAAAAATTCTATTTTACCCCAGAAAAATATTTATTAAGTTTATCAAAGTAAAAAATATCTATTTGTATGGTCCAGCAAGGTGGTTCAGCAGGTAAGCTTGCCACCAAGCTTGAGGACCCAAGTTTGAACTCTGGAGACCAACACAATGGAAGGAGAGAACCAAGTCCTGCAAGGTACCCTCTGATCTTGACATGTAAGCCCTGGAACATGTATACACCCACACACACACACACACACACAAAACACAATAAAATTATCTATGTCTATAATTTAAAAACTAAAGCTAATACAAATTTTGTACTGTCTTGGATATTATATAAGCATTTAAATTTACCAACTCATGTAACTGCCACAATAGCTCATAAAGCAGATAAATTATGCTATAATCATAATCATCTACATTGCACAAACAACTACACGAAGGCAGCGTGAAGTTAAGGTGGAATAAAGAAAGATTCTAACTCCGTCTTACTCCGGCCTCTCTCCGCACTCCTTACAATGGTTCAATGTTACCCCAGTGTCTACAACTCTGAGTTAAATAAGTTGTGTACTGAGACTCAGGAATTCATTTTTATCAAATAATCAATCATTTTTCTTTCTTAAGTAGAATGTAGACTATGCCTGATTGTCCAAAAGCAGCAAAGACTAGAAACTGGGAAAGCAGATGGAATCAGGATATAGGCCAGTCTTCAGCTCCTTATTCAGTGATGTTCTCACTCACTTTCAGACACAAAATAAGACAAAGAAAGCCTGTGCCTTTCTTCAGTAACACTCCCCAAAACATCCAGGACTGAATGAGATCAGCAAAAAGAAACAGGAGAAAAAAGTTTTTTTTTTTTAAATATTTTATTTATTATTTTTATTTTATGTGTGCAAGTGTATTGCCTGCATGTATGGGAGTGAATCTGTGTTGTGCAACGCCTCAGAGGTCAGAAGAGGGCTTCGGATTCTCCTGGAACTGGAGTTAAGGATGGTTCATAGCTGCCATGCGGGTGTTGGGAATCGAACCAGGGTTCTCTGCAAAAGCAGTCAGTGCTCTTAACTGCTAAGCCAGCTCTCCAGGCCCCTGAAAAGTTGTTTTAAATGGGGGAGTAGAAAATAACCCTGACTGCTGACTGTGCTAAAGAAGCAAATGTCTAGAGAGCTCTGCCAGCTTGTTCTCAGTATACAAAGAATGGTGTTCCAAGCCCTCATCTGTAAAGCTATTATTTAAAGTCTGAAACATGATCACTTCCACCCATTATTTACTTCACAAATAGCACTATATTAATATTACAACAGTTTGGGGTTTATCAAAGTTTTGTTCTTTTACACTCAAATTTCCAATCTGAGTTCTCAAAAGCACATTCCCTCCTTCACCCTGGAAGCATCCTAGGAGGTCTACTTTTCCCTTTGCCCATTTAATCTGGTATGGACACACAGAGACTCCTGGCTTAAGAATGTATGGCCTTGGGGTCAGTGGGATTTGGGAGGGCTGAGGCCACTCTAAGCAGGCAAGTGCAGTGTCCACGCCCCATGCTGATCATCCCTGGATTTCCTGCACTGCCTGTGGAGATGGGACTTTGCCTGTTTTCTACTCTATCTTTTGTTTGCGAAGCTGTCCTGCTGCAGACCTTTATCTTTTGCCAGTTCTGGCTTCCGTGCTCTTGAGTGCTCCTTTGTTTTCCTTTGGAAACCTTAAACTCTTTTTTCCCATTGAACTAAACTTTACAGGGAAAGAAAAAAAACAAAAAAACTCCTAAGAATTTATCATTGTGGAAGAAGAAAAACAAAACAAAATACAAATATAAACCCTTCCCCACAACTGATCAACTGAACTACTTTTTTTAGCTTCTTCACTGGAAAAAGCCAACTGAGTCATGCTGGACCTGGTGGTATAACCTGCAATTTCAGCGACTCAGGGCTGAGGCAGGAGGATGTGAGTTCAGGCCTACCTGAGCTACAGAGCAAGCTTATGACTAGGCTGGTCAATACAGAGACTTGTCTCAAACCAAAAATGAATACAAAAGGGGCCAGGAATGAAGCTCAGGGTAGCATCCTTGAAGTCCTAGGTTCAATCTTTAAAGACAGAGCCAATCAAAGACATTTTCTCACAAGATCTAAAATGGAGCTTCCAGGGTCAGAGCTATGGAAACAAAAATGTAAGTAAAGAGGGAATGATTCTATCAGACAGGTAAGGGCTCACCAGTTTGCCCTCTGCCTGAGCAAACTCTCACCCACTGCTGGAGCTAAGGGAGATGAAAAACTGGATCAGGAGGGATGGAGTAAGGCATGGCAGAAGTGAAAAAAGGCAGTAAAACGCCCCAGGAGACACCATCAGAAGGAAGGAAGATTTATGAACCCACCAGTCTTGGCATGGATTCATTCATAAAATACACATAGCAGTCCCTAAAGACACACCGAAGGCTTTAATGAATGAAAACTGAGATCTATGTGGGTCCACATACCGAACGCTGGAGGAAATCCCTGGAGATTTGCAATTTCTTTAGGCGTGAAATATCGCAGCTTAAGCGTGGACAATTTTGCTATCTTTTCTTCTGGTGGCAAATCAATAAGAGATTTGTAGATGTCCTCAAGCTGTTAAAAAAAATTTCAAAATAACTGAAAACATAGTTATTAAGATTAAGATTTCCAGGGTGGGACAGTTGAAAACAACAGTTGTGTAGTCTTCTATGCCACGTGAAACAAAATGGATAAACAAAACATCTCTGTGGGACAGCTCCATAACTGATGCAATAACAACAACACACTGTAAAAGAGAAGGGGCCCCACTGGGAGCTCAGGAGGTCTTTCAGTCCATCACTTTTGAACCTTTATAATTAAGTCATAAGCAATAAATGAAATTATAAGTTAGAAAATTATTTAAAAATTTAGTGAAAGATGGGGCTGGCAAGATGGCTCAGTGGTTAAGAGCATTGATTGCTCTTGCAGAGAACCCAAGTTTGGTTCCCAGCATCCACATAGCAACCAAGAACCGTCCATAACTCTGGTTCTAGGGGATCTGCTATCATCTTCTGACCTCCACAGGTATTGTACCTACATAAATGTAGGCAATAAACTCATACATGTAAAATAAAAATAATAAATGAAATATTTAAAAAATTTAGTGAAAGAAAAAGGAACTTAGGTCAGCCAACAAAGTCAATTTCATAAGGCTAACAAGAGAATCTGCAGTGAAAGAGCTATTTCACAGCAGAGAAACAGCATGACAAATATCCACATAAATAACACACTCATTCTCAGTTCAACATCTTAAATTATAAATTTAACATTAAAAGTGTTACTATTTAAATGTTTAGAACATACATGGTACCTGCACATCCTCTGCAGTCTGTAACACAGAGCCCGTCCCTTCTATGTAGCTTCCATAACTGAAAAATTAAATATTAAGTAGTACTTAGTAAAAATATTTGTGTATATGTATATGTATGTTAGAGTGTTGTGTTCATGGTATGCAGGTGCATGTGTGTATGCATATGTGTGGAGGTCAGAGGACAGCCTCAGGTGTCATGCCTCAGGCATAGTCCACTCTTTTTGGAGACAGCATCTTTCACTGGTCTCAAACTCAAATAGATGGTTTGGTTGGCTGGCCAGTGAGGTCCAGGGATCGCCCATCTCTGCCTCCCCTGAGCTGGGATTATAAATGTGTGAGCCCCCATGCCTGGCTTCATTTTACATGTATTCTGGGGATCTAACTCAGGCCTTTGTGCCTGTCACAATCACTTTAGTGACTGAGCAACCTCCCAAGCCCTTTTTAAGAATATTTTTTAAAAATATATTTGAGTGACTTAGTATTTTTTGAATGGCATGTTTTTATAGTCTTCTGAAACACTTGACTGGCATCATATAAATATGCTTCATAATTAAAAAGTGAGGCACATATTGTATTTAAGCCTCTTAGAAACTAAATGTGGCAGCTGAGTTGTATGAACACCCAAACGATGTATCATGATTTTGTATTAACTGTCAAATCTGCAATGTTCCTCGGTAGAAAGTATTCACTTTGTGTTCACAGGGCTCTCAGTAGTACCCTCCCTGCCACGTTAAACCAAGTATAAAGGTGAAAACAGGTCACTGTTATTTTTTTCATAATGCTCAAATAATCATTTCTTCTCAGATTCCCAAATCCTTGTTCCTTAATGCACAAAGACATGCTCACAACAGGTATGTTTTTACCATCACTTTGTGTAAGATTTGACCATTATATATAAAACTGTGTAAGAAGTATAAAAAATTTTAGAAATGCAAAGTGCAGTCATATTTCATGACTGTTACTGCCAAGCTGGTCTTCTATGATGAGTATTCTCTCCTTAAAAAAAAAAAAATGAAGATCATTTAAAACGTAAATTAGAAAAGTTATATGAGAAAAAAAATTCAAATTGGTATTTCAAACATGTGTGCATGCATGCATATTACCTTTAGTAGAAGAGACTTCTAGAGTAAGTATTCTTTTGTAATTCTTCCAAAAGAATTTCAAGATTTTTTTATTACAAAATTGATGTCTTAATTTTATGAGTCCAAAACAGAAGCTACTAGACTTGATAATGGACAACAGTCGAGTGAACTCTTTTTAAGGTCATGCAAAGTAGTAAACCCTTCCTCCTAGAGGCACAGAGCAGTGTGTAAAATCGGATGAGTCTGTCTGGCTGCATTGGGCACACTGTCTTTTTTCTGAGATAGTAAACTAGTAGGTGAAAAACTGAACTGTCAGATCATACAACTACCTAGCCTATGAGGCTGGGGGACATTCACAAAATACGGATAGGATCATTAACCATCTTTTTTCTGAAAAGGCCTAATTTCCCCCTTTATTGTAAGTTTTAAAAAGATTGACAAAATATTTCATAAGTCAAGAAATAACCCAAAAGAAAACTGTAAATGTTCAATAACAGGTAACCAGTAAAACAAATTATGATATTCTTGTGTCATGAAAATAATAAAGATCTTTATGTCACTATGGCAACAACATCCAAACAAAATATTCAGCAGCTACACAATACATGGCTGTCAGTGGCTGATATCAAGACACTAGATGTCAAGAGACAGATGCAGTAGATAGTTCCATAATCTTAGTATTTTTTGAATTTTGAACCATAAAAATGTATTATAAATTCAAAGCCTGAAGAGATTGTAAATTACAAATTGTAACCAGATAATTTTATGTCTTTAGATCAATTTTCTTTTTCTTTCTTTTGGTCTTTTTGAGACAGGGTCTCCCTGTAGTAGTTCCAGCAGACCTGGAACTCACTATGTAGACCAGGTGGCCTTGAACTCACAGAAATCCACCTGCCTCTACCGCCCAAGCTCTGGGATCAAAGGAGTATGCCACCATGCCCAGCTCAAAATTTAATTTTCTTACACATAGATCATGAGAATGGATCTAACTGTATGGTTTGCTGTGTGCCACAGAAAGAAAGATGCTGAAATGAATAATTCATAAGCTACAGAAGCAGTGTCCTACTGTGAGTAGTTAAGCTCTACAAAGGTCACCTGCCCTGTGGCTTTGTCTTAGAGCACTTCTGTGAGCGGGGCACAGAACATTTTGCCAGAGTTTTCACTCCTATTCTGAGGGCACATGAAGCAGACAGTCAGGAAAAAAAATTATTCCAGCAGAAATATTTCATAAAACGCTCTTTGAATAAGAACTAGGAGGACAGCTGCACAAACCTGGTTATTTCCAGTGTCACAGAGGGAATCCCTTTAAAACTTACCCTTTGGTGAAGCACGTGGACCTTCTGGAAGTGGGCTTCACAATATCCAGTAAAAGAGCATATCGCAGCAATGACTTTGGTGGTAGAAAGTACTGATTCAAGTCAGTGTCAGCTTCGAGAAAATCCTTCAGCATCCGCAGAGAGAGATCACTGTCCTGTTTGCATTTCCTGTCAATTTCTTCTGCAGTTTCAAGTTTAAAAAGGACGGCACCTTTTCTAGAACTTTGTGTGCTGTGGCTATCACAGCACATACTTGGTTCAATGTGCCTTGCTTTAGTTTTATTTTCTTCATCTACCGCATATTTTTGTGGATGTTCAGATGCAATTTTAGGAAACTCCATCAATACCTGGAATTAAATTAAAAAATTGCCAAAAGTTGTATTAAAATGAAGAGATAAATAATATCAACCGAACATGCAGAAATGTTCAGCCTTTTTAGTGGTGAGATTAAAGTCAGACACTGTGGCTTACTTATATTTGAATGAATTAAAATATCAAGTTATTATTCATTCAGCCACACTGACATTGGGTATACAGGATTTATTTCACAGATTTATTAGTTGCTGTATTTATTAATAAAAAAACTCACAAAACAATTAGAAGTATGTTAAATACAGACACAGCACTATAGTTGGAAAAGAATTTACGAAAACAACATGAACATTAAGAAATGTGTATGGAATCAAAGTTGATGAAAAAGGAAATACTAAAACATCCTCATGGTCTACAAGAAAGCTAGTAACTTCCTGTCATGCAACTCTAGGAAGGCAGAGTCAGGAGGATGGCTGTAAATCAGGAAGGCGGCTTTAACTCTCAGGCCTACATAATGAATTCCAACCCAGCCAGGACCAGCCAGGACTACAAAAAAAAAAAAAAAAAAAATCAGCCAGGCATGGTGGTGCACACTTTTAATCCCAGCACCCAGGAGGCAGAGGCAGGTGGGTCTCTGTGAGATTCGGCTGGTCTACATAATGAGTTCTAGGCCTGTCTCACAAAAAGACCAAAAAATTATTAAGTAACTAAAAATAAATAACAATTTTTCAAACTACCTAAGCACTACTTACCAGAGGAAAATAGTTCAAAATCCTACTGAAAAATACACATACAATGAATATACAAGTGCATGTGTATAGCTGAAGGCTGTATAACAGAAACACAATGCCAGGTAAGAGAAACCTCATTTCAAGTTATTGGTCAGGGTAGTCCAAGAGACTCCCAAAATACCACAGGCTATTGCCATAGCCCTTGATTGTCTCCCAGAACTTGAAGGTCCCTATTGCTGGAGACAGGTCACACTTTAAACACAGGACTTGGGAGCAATCAAGCTGGAACTGACCTGAAACCTCCCTGAAGACCAGCTCTCATGGTATCAGAGGACAATATACAAGCTGCCGAGGGAGACAAACAATCCATGGTCCTACCCAGCTGTAAAGTCTAATAACACTGACTGGCCCAGCAAACTACTCCTATTGGTGCAGTGCCGCCTTTATCTTGGGATAATTAACAACTGTCTAATTGGAATTAAGAGCCACTCAATGGGAGGGAGTTCATATGTGGTACTATAAACATTGTTAAATACACATGGTTGGAGAGGTCATAGATCCTAGAGAAAAATCTACTTTTACCACATCTGTATATCAATGCAATTTCTTACTTTATTCTAAATATGCATCCTCATACCTTTCACCCCTCATCAAGGAAGCTTAGTTTTGCAACAGACTGATGCAATTACAGAGTTACACAACTGGTCAAATGCAGAGAATAAATGTCTATGAGATGCTTAACCCTACGTGACACATCTTCAAAGCAACCTCTACACTTAGGATGAATGTATCTCTCAACTTTCACCAGAGAAATTTCCTCATGCAGCAGATGGCGATTAACACAGAAACCCACAATTGGCCACTGTGCAGAGAACAAGAGGCCACAGAGTGTTCATCCCTGAATAGGAGACCTACTTCAAACCTCTGCCTCCCAAGGTTTAGGGATCATTGCAGAAGAGGAGGTAAATGAGGTGGATGACCACAAGAAAACAGTCTTCCAGACAGCTGGTAATTTATTCATATGAACTCACAGCAATGGTAACAGCATGCACATACGCAAGCTTAGATAAAATTCCGGCATAGATACTGGCAAGTGGATAAGAAATCCCAACCCAACCTAAGGAACTTTTGGCAATTGGTAGCTTCCAGGAGAGGGATGTCTTACAATGAAAGACATTGGGACACAAATTGGCTTTATAGGCCATATTTTATGAGAGCATATTAAATTGGGAGGGGGTGCAGTGGGGGAAGGTGTGGATAGGGGAGGGGATCTAAATACCGTCAAACTATATTGTATAAAAATTGCAAAAATTCAATAAAAATTTCAATAAGGAAAATTTCCATCTCAAAAATAAATACATTTTAAAAGGTGCTTTTCCCTGTGAAAGGTTATACCCACTCATGAGTCCCATAGGGGGGGAAAAATGGGTTTTGCAAAACTCAATCTTTTACAAACAAAAAAGGTTTCAAACATTTTTAATAATTGTTTGTTAGTATAATCTTCTGTTATTTTTGGAACTATCCACTATGGAAAGGAAAACATACTATAGGCAATTCAAATGATGTATCTGGTTCTCGTTAGTAGGCTTGGCTTTTGAGCAGTCACTAGTGATGGTTATACAGAGCTTCTTTGACCCACTGAAACTCTGTTATCTTCCCACATTTTTTAATCAAAGCACACAAAATTGCACATAGCTACTGACCATTTTATTCTAGACCATTTTAATCATTACAACATCTTAGTCCACTGAGCTAAATAATGTTGACCTTAGAGAAAATATAATAAATGTTTAAATAGTCAAAACATTTAAAAAGACTTTAATTGTATATTTAGTCATGTGTTTAGGTGCATGCTATGTGTGCATATGCATGAGTACAAGTGTCCACAAGTGCCAGCTGAGGGTGCTGGATGTCCTGAGTTATAGGCAGCCTTGAGCTGCCTGACTTTAGTGCTGGACCCTAAACTTGGCTCCTTTGCTCGTGATCAAGGAGCCATCTCTCCAGCCCTAATCAAGCCATTTTAAAGACAGCATATTGTATTTTATCAGAACTAATCAATGACTTTACCTGGGAAGAGAAAATGACAAAAGCAAAAAGTCAGTGGTCAAAGGGAAATTATGGTGGAAACAGGGATAACAATGCTAATGGCAATTTTTAATCTTTTTTTCTTACAAAGAGAAAAAAGCTTTGGTTTTGTTTTGTTTGTTTTGACAGGGTCTCCTTGATCCAAGCCCACCTGGAAGTCACTATGCAGACAAGGCCGGCCTCAGTCTCGCAGAGATCCACCTGCCTTTGCCTCCCAAGGGCTGGGATTAAAGGCCCGCTCCACCATGCCCAGGTGGCAAGTTTTGGTCTTATTAAGCTTAAATCAGTGAAAAGTGACTTCAGGAAAGGCCTGGAGATGGATTTAGGGAAGGCCTATATTTCAGATACTATAGGCACATAAGCCCCAAGTAGTTATTGAAAAGAAATTGGCAGACTGAGATTCACTCACAAGTAAACTGCAACAGTCACAATACCTGGCCAGGGACCCGAAAAGGCAAAGGCTCTGACTGGAGCTTCGCAAGGAGGAAATACCGCAGCCTTGAATTTGGAATGCCGAGCTGCATGGAAAACCAAGGGGCAATTACCACATGAGGTAAGAGAGATCTGTGCCAAGGTTAGCACTTAGCATAAAGACTCACAGATAGGCCCCCAGCTTCTGCCAGAGTGAATGCTGATACTGATTTCTGGAAGACTTCATAATATCAAATTCTAAACCAGTTAAATTACTTCTCTGTGCCTTCATTTGAATGAGGATTATACCTAATAAATCATGGGTCTATGAGTCACTTTTCACAAGAAGAAATGAAATACAAGCATGTAGCATTCGCTATTGCTAATATAGTAATTGTAAAAATGAAATTCAAATACAGCTACTCTTGGCTACTAGCACTTCTGCTTTAAAAAAGGAAGATTTACTATATTTTTTCAAAGCAGCAATAAGTATGAAATAAACTTAAGGAGATCAGCTGTACTGGCAATTCTCACAGCTTATATATCTAATTTTTAAAATGAATTTTCTTTTCATGTCTGGGCAAAGAACTACATGATATGGCTAACGGGGATAAGAAACTAAAACCAACATTTATAAAAGTCAAATCTTCAAATATGATACCTAATGACTCTGATTTCTTATTCATGAAATAAAATCAATGCTTGCAATTTAATGTCATGCCACAAAAAGGAATTACAAAATAATATGCCCACTTTGCTTTCAATTTTGGATTACTTTGAAGCATGACTAAACATAAAACTCCTAATTTAGACATGCCAAACTTGACATATTTTCAAAACATATTATCATTTATTTTCCAGATGAAAATGCATGAGGTTTAATCAAATCATTTTATGTACAAACAAATCAATAAGCATGCACCACGTTCTTCAGAAAGTAAGATCTATGTCTGAGTTAACTTCAAGACCTATGTAAAATATTATTAAAGATCTATTTGTTTATTACATCAAATCCTAGTGGGGGGAAAGCCTTTTTAAATGATCATCTATATAAGAGTTTATAATTATGGTACCTACAGAGGTAGGAGATAATAGAAACTCTTGATACTGAAAGCCGCAATTTTCTATTGTCTGTATCAGCAGGCCTCTGAAATGAAAAACAGACGAAAGAAAAGCCATCACGCTTACTTGGAAGTGGCGTTCGTTTTTTTTTTTCTATTTTATGTGTATGCGGGTATTCCCTGCATGTAGGTAAGTGCATCCATGTTGTGCAATGCCCGCAGAGAACAGAAGAGACTGTCAGATCCCCTGGGACTGGAGTTACGGACAGTTGTTAGCTGCCATGTGGATCCTGGGATTCGAACCTGCGTGTTCTGCAAGAACAGCCAGTGTTCTTAACCGCTGAGCCATCTCTCCAGCCCCAGAAGTGGCATTTTCTATGACATGCACATAACATTTCATCACAAGTAAAAACTGCAAGTGCGCTCAAGCTGTTTAGAGACAAGTCTAGTTATTACCAAGCCCAGTACTTGAGAAATTACAATTTAATAAAAAGATAGAGAGGATTCTCTCATATAAGTATATAAAGCTGCCAGATAATTTGCCCAAGCTGATAAGAGTCTAAATGGTTAATGAATTTGCTTTGGAGAATAAAACCACAGCTTCACAGTAGAGTATGGGATGGGAACACTGCTGTGGAGGCCTTCTCCCCTCCTGGGCTACTGTCTGACAGAAACAAGACGCTGGGCTACTTTTCCCACCTAACTGTGGGACGGGGAATGCCCACCAACAGGACTGCTCTGAATGAAAACTTTTCTACTTAGAAATACTAAAATTGAGAAATTCATTCCCATTCAATATTCATTTTGGAAAAACAAAATGAGAATTAGACCAAAACTCTGTAATATTTTACATTCTTAGTAAAAATCAATAACAGTAAATAAAATACACAGAATATAAAATGTCAGCATATATGTCTAAGATGTATGCAAGATAAATACATTTTTTTTTTACCTTGTAGAAGATACTTCAAAACCTTTAACATTTTCTAAAAGAATATACTTGGGTAATTTTTGTAATCTAAAAAAAAAACCAGAATTACAAATATTTCAATATAAAGAAGTAAAAAAAGAATCACTGTCTGTAGGAAATATGGGGTTAAGTAATTTCTGAATTCTATAAAAGAAGTTTATATGATGGCGATAACTCATATTTTATTCATTTTTTCCCATAGACATCACTCAATAAAGTTCACACTTGAAATGTTCATTTCTGCTGGACCACATCTCAAAGTGTGGTTCTCACAGGGCTTCTGCACTGCACAACTCACAGGGCTGCCATTCGCTACGGTAATGGGGGAATGGCATTCACCAGCATATCACCTGCAGGACTGCTAGAGCAGAGCAACAGCCCGGAGGCTGTAAACTTTGGTCACCGACTATGGAGGCAGCATGGACTTGAGAAACATTTACAGCTATTCTATGAGTTGTGACAAATGACAATAAATGCCATGAACGACATGTGAAGGCTGCATGTGTCCAACTGCTAATCTCTATAACATGGCAAACACTACATTCCTTCAGACACCCAGCTTTAAATTTAAGGCAACTCTACAAGAATCTAAATGTTTACCTTGGGAGAATATCTAGAATATACAAGAAGCTATTTGTCCTTGGATCAGTCATATCCCCCTGCAGACCAATTCTAAAAGAGCAAAGAAACCACAAAAAAAGTTCATTAAGAATTTTTAAATATTTTCTTTATTATTATTTTATGTGTATGAGTGTTACACCTGTATGTAGGTAAGTGCACCCATGTTGTGCAATGCCCACGGAGGACAGAAGAGGCTGTAGGATCCCCTGGGACTGGAGTTACGGATAGTTGTTAGCTGCCATGTGGGTGCTGGGATTCGAACCTGGGTCTTATGCAAGAACAGTCAGTGTTCTTGACTGCTGAGCCATCTCTCCAGCCCAAAGAATTTTATATAAAGATATCAAAACATTTTTTTAAAAGTCAAGACTGAGAGAACTAAAATAAGCTGGTCCTTATCAGAGAGAGAGAGAGAGAGAGAGAGAGAGAGAGAGAGAGAGAGAGCACTGGTTGAGTTGCTAGCAACCTGGAGCAGATGACATTGGTGACGACTATCATTTAAGCAGACTAAACAGTATATAATGCTGAGATAATCTTATCCAGTGTAAATAGACCCTTGATCTTTACTCTGTAACCAGGAATTGCAAGTTAGGTAAATGAGGGTCAGCACCAGTTATGTTCACAGGCACTATTTAGGCTAGCAAACAAACCTCACAAATAAGATTCACAGCATGATCAAGGTTCAAGTAGAAGGAAGACTATTGGGCCTGGATAACAGGAAGAGGATCAGGGTTTAAAACCTTGGTGCCTAGTAGCTTCATGGTCTTATGCTATGCGGTCTCCGTCAGTTTTCTCATACCTAACACCAGAACCAAATCTGTCAGTGGACCTGAGGCTCAGCTGGGGATTAAACAGAACTTAAAAGATTCCTCAGAAATCTTCCAGTTTTCATGTATGCCCCCTCTGCTCAGAGTTCTACAGACAACTATAGAATCACTTTGTGCTGCCATCAGCAGCTGGAGTTGGGCTAATGCACAGTGAGGGTTTTAGCTGGGCCACCGCAGTATACATAATGCATACTGTGCCATGGCTGAAAACTGTTCTGTATATCCTGGAACTGTACAAACGAGGCCATACTCTTGCAACTGCTTAAAGCCACCTTCCTAAGGAATGTCCTTGGCCTTCTCTGATAAACTCCTAATCTGCTTTTGGACACAATTCAGATACCACCTCTGAAAGAGTTCCCCTCTCTCAGCATGAAGGGAGTCATTTTCTACTCTGTGTTCTCAGGGTAGTACTGAACGTAACAGTTTACGTAACATTAACTTGTCAGCTGTTCCTGTCAGACTATAAGCTACTGTGCTGGATAGCTTTAGTGTCAACTTGACACACCTGCGTTGAGGGAGCCTCAATCGGGAAATTGCCTCTATTGGACTGGCCTGTGGCCATGTCTGAAGGGCATCTTCTTGATGAGTGATGTGGGAGGGCCCAGCCCACTGTGGGTGGTGCCACCCCTGGGCAGGTGGGCCTGTGTTGCATAAGAAAGCAGGCTGAGCAGGGGCCAGGGGAGCAAGCCAGTAAGCAGCATTCCTCCATGGCCTGTGCTCCAGCTCCTGCCTCCAGGTTCCTGCCCTGAGTTCCTACCTTGGGCTCCCTGATGAACTGTGACCTGGGAGATGTAAGAAAATAAACCCTTTCCTCCCCAAGTTGGTATTGCTCAGAGTATTTTTTCACAGCAATGAAGAACAAACTAGGACAGCTACCTACAAACAAGACTACAGCTTCAAGATAATATAAGATACATGGATACAATATCCTAGGGGAAGTAAGCTTCCTCCAGTTCAAAGCTGTTAAAATTCAGCATAAGAACATTTACTTGAACCAGAATATTTATTACATATAACTCTCCACTTAAAATCATACATATTAATAAAAAAATATATAAAGTGATTAACAGATCCTTGCTCTAACATTGTCTAACTGTACAGGTATGTAAAAGTTAATCTTTCTATGCCTCAGTTTCTCACCTATAAATGATGGGAACAATGCCTACCCCATATGCTTGTGAAATGAAATTATATATTATATGTAAGACTCTATTATTATTGCTATTTAAAATAACTTATTTTAGAGGCTAGAGAAATGGCTCAGCAGTTAAGAGCACTGGCTGCTTTCAGAGTACTCAGGTTTGGTTCTCAGCACCCACATAGCAGCTAACAACCATCTGTAACTCCAGTTTCAAGGGATCTGATGTCCTCTTCTGGTCTCCACGGGTACTGCACAACAGGGGTGCACTTACAGACATGCATACACTCATACACATAAAAATAATAAATTTTAAAAATTTAAATAACTTATTTTATTAGGTATCAAAATATGTAAGTAAAAATAAATTAGTCAAGATTTAATGTCAAATATAAATGAGACACACAGTTAAATACCTAACTACATAATTTTTAAATGATAAATTATAATGTGGCTATGAAAAAAATCAAAATTATTAGTATACCAATTGTGAGAAATACAGTGTGCAAATATACGCTAAACTAGCTTTCAAATTTAGTTATTACAACTGAAATTTTTATTATGGAATTCACTTTCATAAATTTCTGAATGCTCAACAGCTCAACAGTCTAAAGGAATTAAGTTAATTTGAAACAAAAGAATTTGTATCTTAAACTATGTATATATACATTCCATACATATATATATATACACACACACTTATAGTCTTATGCATTTACTCTTAATCAAATTTTTTTGCCCTTCTGCCTATAATTGCGTATGATTAATGCTGAATTATAAGTATGATAAATGAAAGGATCTATCTATAAAATATTTACAGCTAGGAAAATGCAGCTCACAGTCTTCTGAAGCCCGCCCTCCCTCCTTTCTTCCCTCCCTCCCTTCACTCTTCCCCTCTCTTCTTTATTTGGGGGTTAGTGTGTGCCACCAAAGTTTGAACTCAGGGTCTTATGCACGCTAGGCAACCTTCTACCACCAAGGTAGGCCTTCAGCCCAAATGTACTCTTCCTTAACAGAAAAATCTTTATTATTCATACCTTGTAAACGGCTGACATGGAGGGCTCATTAAAATCATATCGAAAGATAATTTGTCAAACTCTTCCAGTGTAATGCCCTAAGGAACGAACATTTGAGAGGGACAAAAATAAAAACACGCATAGACTAAGGAAGAGAAAAATGCTAAACAATTATAACTAAACATATCAGAAGGCATAAATTTATATAATACAATGTTTTCCAAAGCAACTTCACCTAAAGTAACCTCCCAAAGCAATCTTGTAAGGAAACAAGGCCGTGAACTGTGAAAACTGTGAAAACTCAGGTGACCCAGCTAGGACAGAGCTGAATCTGAACAGTGTTTTCCTCTACATGATCACTTGTGGCCTCCACAAGATACCACTACTTTGGTTTCTGGACTCAAATATGTAGAACTGTATTTTATAATTGACAGTCTTTGCAGAGGGCCTAGGGAACGTTTAAGCACCCACCTATCAACGATGCTCTGCTTTAGCAAGCACAACACTGAACAGCCACCATTCCAGTCTCACAAGTGTCTGCTTTCTTCTAGTAAGATCAGAAAATACAAAGGCTTCACCTTCAGATATCTGCAACTGTTTTATGGTTTTACCCTTGCGCACAAAGAACGTCATGACTATAAATAGGATTAATAAACATTATCCCCAATTTTCCATGCACGTAGGCATATAACAGTGCGCATGTGTGTACGCACATATTGGAAAACAGAAGTGAACATCAGGGGTTTGTCGGCTCTCATTAAGCACTAAACCAGAAACACAAAGAGAACAGTCTAGAATCGCAACCACCCTAACAAACTGTAGTGAGTGTCTTAACAAGTTCAAGCATTTCAGTAAAGCAGGAAATTTTATACTCTGAATCCTGTGATGAGCAGGTTAACCTGGGAACATGCAACTATATTAAAAGTTAGGTAGCTAGACAAGGCCAGTAAGTGACATATGAATCTTGAGTCAAGTATTCATGTTTATTTCATTGTATTAAAAGAGATTTAAAATTTTCAGAAAGAAACTGAATTTTATCAAATGCTTTTGGACAGAGTTTTGATATTTACAATTATGAACATGTTAAACAATATTAATGGAAATCTTATATTTAACTTTAGTGTATTTCCAAAAGAAAACCCATTTTGCTCATGAGGTGAGGATTATCTGTTTGTTCATATTTTACTTATAATTACTGACTATAGATTTATAAGACAGTAGTTTTCTTATTTGTAGCATATAACAGATATCCAACAAAAATTGATGGCTGGGCTATTTCTTATTATGTCCTGCTCTGTGAAGTCTAATGCTGTTTAATGAATGCATACTCATGGTAATTAGACTTTCCTTCAGGATTGTACCAGTTCACATTATAAAATAAGTTTCAACAATAGGAAAAGAAGAGCTCAAATTATCCCTTTTTGCAGATGATATGATAATATATCTAAGGGACGCCAAAAATTCCACGCACAAACTCCTAGAAATTATTAACACATTCAGTAAAGTGGCAGGTTACAAAATTAACCTACAAAAGTCTATAGCCTTTCTATATATCAATGACAAGCAGTCAGAGAAAGAGCACAGGGAAACCCTGTCATTCATAATAGCCACAAAAAAAATAAAATACCTTGGAATAAACCTGACCAAAAACATTAAAGAGCTCTACAAGGAAAACTTTAACTCTTTAAAGAAAGAAATTGAGGAAGACATCAGAAGATGGAAGGACCTCCCATGCTCATGGATTGGAAGAATTAATATTGTGAAAATGAACATCCTACCAAGAGTCATATATAGATTCAATGCAACGCCAATCAAAATCCCCATGACATTTTTCACAGAATTGGAAAA